ATTCAAATCAAATCAAATATTTGAATACTTGATTTGAATTTGATCAAATCAAATATTCAAATATCAAATCGAATTGCAGAACCCTACTTGCTACCATTCAGATTGAATATTACAGCAGCTAAAACTCATCACCATCCTGCTATTGTTACAAATGCCTCTGTTTCACAAAATGAAAGAAAGGAATATGTTGATAAATATTATTGTCTTGCGTCTGTAAAAGGAGTAAAATAATTCACAACCTTATTTTTGACACATTCTGTTATTATTTTCCAGAACAATAAAGCCAAGATTCCTCTTATTCCTGCAGTTGGAAGAACTTTCAAACTATACAAAGTTTTCAAAAGCCAGTTACAGTGCCTGATCACGATTTTCCAGTTAGTATACAGCAAAAGCTTATTCTATCAGTTTACTTGCTTATCGACCTGAATAACATGAATGATACTTTTCGTTGTGGCTAACTTTCAATTTTTGTACGTCAACAATAGCAAGTTAGTACAAGCTCATCCACTCATATGAGTGATCTGAACTCGCTAACTCAAGATAATCGTTTTGATGAGGTATTAAAAGTTGATAGCTAAATCAAACCCATTTGGATTCTTTTAGTTGATGGAGGTCCAGATGAAAATCCCCACCACATGAAAAACATTCTTCAATATCATAGAATGTTTCGTGTCTTCGATCTTGATTATTTTTCTATTTAAATGCATGCATCCAATCAATCAGCAATTAACCCTGTTGAGCATAGTATGGCAACGCTCTTTCAAAAACTAGCTAGCATAATATTGCCAATTGACAAATATGATTCTCATCTCAACTCTCAAGGCTAAATAACTAATTTGGAGCTTGCAATGAAAAACTTTTGTTATGCTGGTGAGGCTTTGTGTACTCTTTGAAAGCGTAATCCTATCTTCGAAAAACCAGTTACCGTATAATACACTGACCAGAAAAGCTTTCCATTTGGTAATATTGTATTTGCTGGATGTGAAAAAGAAAATGTCAATGAATCGGCTATACATTAGCAATAATTAGAAAATCACACCAAAATGTATCAATATTCACTTGATATTAAGAAATGCAACAATTCTTCTTGTTGTTTGTCTAAATGTCATAAAGAGGCAGCCATTCTTCTTGCGAAAAATTATGGGTTTCTCCCATCTGTAACAAAAGGAAAGATAGACATTTTTTAAATCTACTTCATATATTAGAGTATTGTGATAAGCTCAAAATACCTGGATATGATGCTCATTGTCCTTCTATTAACTTGAACATTTATAATTGTTTCTGCTGCTTCGACTGCAATGCATACTTTCAAACGCTTTCCATTTTTGCCTTACATAAGAAAAATAAACATCCAAGACGATGAGGATGATCAGCCAAGCAAAAAAAGTTACTTACTAATTCTATTGATGATTTTTCAGTTGTGCCTAAGCGGGATATATAAGTTCTGATCCTAAAATACTGTGAAGAACAATCAAAAGGTAAGTAAGAAGGAATTTATGAAGTGGCTCTCATTTTACTTTTATGATAGCAAGAATAAAAAGGTTATTATAAATATTGTAAAGATTAGACGAGATTTAAGATTACAATAAATCAATACTGATTACTAAATTTTGTTGTAGTATAATAGTGATAAACTAGTTTCAAACTGGATAATTAGTTTAGCCAAATTTTTGCGGTTTGATCATATAGTAAATCAAATTATAATTATTTAATAAATTTCTATAAGGATTAATTAATGTTGAACTTTAGATTAATTAGTGTTGAATCTAGTATTAATCGGTGTTGAATCAGTGGTGATTAATTCATTAATTCAATTTATTTAATTTCTATAATTCAAATTTGAATTGCTGAAAATTTCAATTGCAAAAACTGCGTAAATTTTAAAATTGCTAAAAAATTAGGTCATTTATTTGACTTTTGCATAAAAATTAAATATTTTGCTAACTTATTGAATACATTAAACGCTAACATGTTTCAATACAATTTTATATAAGAAAAGTTTTATCGCATTTTTATTTCTGTAATTGTTCAATCTTTTATATTGATAATTTTTAAATTTTTCTCAAATAACAATTTTACAATTTCAAAAATACCTGTCACTATCGAATGGTCTGATGAAGAAATGCAACTTTTGATCGACTTAAGAAGGGAAAAGAATGATGATTACTGGAGAAGGTTCGGAAGATTGAAGTTGACTTTTTGAAATGAAATTGAGGCATTGATATAAGAAAGATTTATGACTGCATTTAATGGGTTACAGGTAAGAGAAAAATTTAAAGGGATGGTCAGGGATTGTAAAGTAAGTAAAATATTAGTAAACGAAAGAATAATAATATTTATCTTAATTGTATTTACTTTAATATTAATTTTTTAGTTATTTGAAAAGTATGCCAATGGGAACGAGAATGAAAAGTGGACTTATATTGGAGAAGTTTTTGGGAAACAATTCAAAACCCCATTTTGGAAGAGACCAGGTTGAAATAATAAAACTTTTCAATTGATATTTAATTGAAGAAAATCATTATTAAAATTAAATATTTATGTTATTTAACATCTCAAGTTTAAGAAAGAAGGTATGCAAGATTGGCTGCCAAAAATCAAGATAAGAAATTTATTTAGTTTAATTTTAATATTATTTTAACATAAATTTAATTTTATATTTTTTAGAATCATTAACTTCTCTTTCTAACAACTCCTCTCAATCTGAAATCCAAAATAACTTACAATAATCTGCTTCTTACTTTCTTTTCCTACTATTGTCATTCCTGCTTCTAATTATCTTTATTCTTTTTATATATTTCATAATTTTTAACTAGTCTCTCTTTTCTTTATCTTTTTCATTATTTTCGCTTAGTTTTTTTATAAATTTTTTTCTGAGTTCTGTTAAAAAAAAATCTGAATAAAGCTTGTCACCTTTACATGATGTTCAGGATCAACAGTTATATGTTAATCTATATTTGGTTAAAAGTAAGCATACCTTTATAACTTTAATTAGTTATTTATTATTTAAATTTATTTGTTTTACATTATTTCAAACTTATTATATACTGAATTTGAATATAATATTTGGTATTTACTATATAATAAATAAATTATTAAAATTCAGTATAATTGTTACTGAATTTTCTCATTTAATGAATTTTAACCTACAAAAATAGAGATTTGTTATAGTGAGGTTCAACTGTATTATATAATTTTGCATAAACAGTTTAAATTAAAATCCTAATACTAATTTAAATATTAACTTTTACCCTAAATAAACATTAAAAGAAAAACAAACTTAGGTCAAAAGAGCTATCAATATCAATAAGTTTATGAGAGTCATTAATATTAGCAAACTCACTTTCATTTATAATGAAATTTATAAGGATTATTAATAGTCTGCTATTATAAGTTTGTAAATTACTTAATAAAGTTTAATTTTGTAATATAAAAAGAATAATAAAGTTTGTTTTATTATATCAAAAAAAGAGAAAAGAAATGGTATTAAAGGAAATAAAGTTAAGCATGCGAAAGTTTAAATAATAATTCTTATTTTATTAATAATAAGTCAATCACATGATAATTATAGACTAATGAAAAATTAAATATATGATAAATTATTAAAATTTATTAGTAAAATTAATATTAAAAAAGGTTAAGTAAAGTTAAAAATTGATAGAAATGATTTAAATATTACTCAATTAAATAAAGTCAAAAGTTATATAACAAAAATTATTGTAATCAAAATTTTAAATGTTTTAATAAAAAGAAAGGTATAATATTGATATATAAAAATGTTTCTATTTCAAATATTTTGCAGAATGAAATAATAAGTGAAAAATTGTATAAAAAGAATGTTGTTTTTAATGTAAAATCCTATATAAAAAATTAGAAAGATATGATAATACTAGGGAATGGTTTTGAAAACTATTATTAAGTCAAGAGCATATGTGTAACGAAAAAGACCAATCATGTATCCACTCAATTTTTGACAACAAGACATCTTGTGTCACCGATCATAGAATTATATAATCTTTCGCAAGGACGACGATTTTTTGTGATGATATAAGACGAATTTTGTGTGTGATAAAAGTAAATTTTGTGTTTTGTTGTGATCTTTAAAATTACCATATAAGGAAATTATCACTGGTACCGTCTTAAGGCATTATTAAAATGAGCTGATAATTTAGGCTGATGGGTTGGTTTAGAACATGGGCTACAACATAATAAACCATCATGGTAAGTGATGTAATCTGCAATTATGGAAATTATGTGAAATTATGCAAAAATTATGTGAAATATTATGTGAAATTATGTGCACACATATATAAAGAATAACATTTTGTGAAATTATGTGGTTAGTAGTGTTAATTTTGTGTTTATCACAAAAATTGTGACTTTTGTGATATATTGTGAAACGCCATAAATCATCGTCCCTGGTCCTTCGTTACACTCCAGACTAATTAATAATAGATTATTAGATGATGAAATATTAGATAATGAAAAGAAGAAGAGGAAGAAGAAATAAGTAAAAAAAGAAAAATACTGGTATACTTTAAAATACTTTAGAATTTATAATAAATTGGTAAAGTATATTTTAATAAACATATCATATATTAATTAATAAAACCTTAAAACTTCGGCTCTCATCTAAGTTTCGCTAGACCAAATAATTTTTTAGCCAAGTGTAAAGAAAAGAACAAACGACATAATAATCAAAAAAAAAATTGTGTAACGGTAAATTAGTTTTTGAAAAAAATATCGCATTCTTTTTTTTATTGAATGTTACACAATATAAAAAAGATCGACATTTGATTTTGTCCATTATCGTTATGCTCAAAATAAATTATAAACGGATTGACCAATCATAAATTCAGAAAACGCGATAAAAAGTTCACCGCTTTTTACGCGTCTTTTATCTCATTTTCTTACAAGTTAAAAAATACTATTAACTTTTCGTGACAGCAGAATGAATAACTGTTCTATTGACCATGCTCTTCGCTCTTCTATTATTAATGAACAGACAATTGCGGAGCCCTCTAGTTTTTGGTCAGAATCTAATACTCAACAAATATCAACTGTGAATGAACAGAATGAACAGAATTCTGAAGTTGAGGACTCGAGAGAAGAATCTCATGTGATCTCAACAGAACAGCCTGAACCTACTAATGAAAATATTAATGAAACAACAAACTTGGAAAGTGTTACAGCAGATCAAGCAACGGATAACGATCAAGAATTTCAAGATAATGAAGCTCCTGCTGGCAATAATAAAAAGGCAGCTTCTAAATGTAAAAAGAGAAAACCTGATACTGAAATCAATGATGCAACTGTAAGAAAAAATAAAAAATCTAAAACTAAAGGACCCAAAGAGAAAAGGCTAGCTCGTTTCAAAATTGTCTGTCCAAAGGTGAGCAAATTTAAATAATTAATATATTAATTATCAGTTTTAAATTTTTTTTTATTTTTATTTATAATTGCAGTTTATTCAACAACAAATTTTACGCGCTGAAGCAGAACAAATGTACATGATTAGTCGAACTATAATTAATGAATTGCACCATGAATTCGTTGTAATTGGATCAACTGGCAATGTATGTTTTATTAAGAAAATTTTCTAAAGCATCATTTATTTTACCAATTAACCTATATTGAATTCTTTTTTTTGCCAGGTTTATACTGTTAATATTTCACATATGCCAAAATGCACTTGCCCAGGCTTCTCAAAGCACAAATTTTGTAAACATATTGTACATATATTTTAGGAAACGCGTATAAGTTGTATCTTTTGAAATACTAACTAATACTTTAACGTATGTAAATTTAGATTTTTATTTATCGTAAAGTTTTGGGTATAAAGCGAAAAAGCCCGTATATTTACCAAAATGCACTTTTAACTAAAGAACTTCGTATAATGTTTGCAAAGTTTGATTCCTATCCGTCTGTCATGGTAAGTAAACGTGTGATTGTGTTTTTAAATTATTAATTAACGTATGATTAAATACTTTATTTAATAGGCTAGCTATGCAATTTGTCAGCGATATAAAGCGTTCCTATCAGGAGAGCTTGGTCAAAAACGCCGGCTAATTGAAGGAGAATGCGCTATTTGGTATATTGATATGCTTTTTGAGGATTTAAACTGCAGGATAGGTTATTTAACGTTCTTCAATTAAAATAGTTACGAAACATTGGAAGGAATTGATCTTGATCTTATCGTGTGGTGCCAAAGAGGTTGTGGAAACAACCTTCACAAAGAATGCTTCGAACAATGGGAGGAAATAAAATTTTCTGAAAATGGAATGGTAAGCAATACCCATTTTATATACTAAATATTAGTTCTGGTTTTTTTATTTAGTCATCTATCATTTTGTCTAGGTTACTTGTATTTACTGTCGTTGCAATTGGGATTATACCAAAATGTCAATAAACAAAGAAGGTTATGTAAACTTTGGAATAAAGTGTTGAAGAACAAATAATACATTTTCATCAAACAAAACAATTTTAAATAGTTTAAATACATTAATCCGATGCGGTTTAGAAATACTAGATTTCTTAAAATATTATATTAAACAGCATATTAAACAATTTGTATAACAATAAACGAGCTTTATTAATGGCTTGCTTTCAATAATTAATTGCAAATTACTGATTTTTACAAAATTAGACATAATATACAGTATATAAGTTAATAATATATTATTCATTAAAAATTAATAAACTAACTTTAATTTAATATTTGATTTAATTCAAACCCTCAAATTAAATATAAAAATTATTTAAATAAAGCTATAAATAGTTTAAATAATTCTTTTATATTAAATAAAAATATATTATTTTATAATTAATTTTATATTAGGTAATAAAATAATTATATTTTTAATTATAAATTTTTTTTTTAAATTACTAAAATATATAATATATATAACATCTTTTAAATTTTTAATAATATTATTATTATTAATTTTTTAATTAATTATTTGATTTAATTGAAATATATAACTTAAATTTTCAAATTTAAGAATATGTTTACATTTTCCCCTAATAATTATTCTAATAAAATTAAAATATAATAAAGTGATTGATATACTTGATTAATAATATAATATAAAATTTTATTTGATTACTACAATTTTTATAAATGATTTTATATTATAATTTATATAATAATATAACAATAAATCATTTTCTTAAAAAATGAATTATACATAAATTATTTTATGGATTAATATTATTCCTTAGATTATAAGGTTTCGCAGGCAAATTTCCTGCTTATTTACTATAAATTCTCTTCTAATTTACTTTTATGAATAATTAATATTTTTAAAATAATTTTTTTTTAAATTAATTATATAAATATGTAATATATTATAATAAGTTTTATCT